CCCCCCCCCCACCACGTCCTTTAAGGTACAAGTTAAAATTGCAAGAGCCAGTCGCGCTGAAGAGGAGGTCGCAGAAACCCAGAGGAAGATGCTGCTGCACTTCACTTAATTTGTGGCCCTGGCTGTAGCAGGAAAGCTGGGTTTAATATAGTAGAGACCCACTGATACAGGCACTTGGTCAGGGGTGGGGGAAACGGACTGTCTTCCTTCATGCTCAGAAAGGTGCACTCCAGGGCCAAAAGACGCTTAAATAGATAAAGGAAAAAATCCCTACAGCAAGGACAACATCCCACAAGGACCTGCCTTTACATGTTGTCGATCCCATAAAGGAAGAGCTTAGTTCTTACTGTGTCAGACGATTCTCGCCTCCGTTTCTTTGCCAACAGCATAGCTGTCAAAGGCTGTGGGGTACATTTCTGTAACACACTTTGTGAACTTTTAAAAGGAATCAGGGCAGTTTCTATATATAGAACAGCAACTAGAAGGCAATATAAGACTAGTCTCTAGAAATTCTGAAATTCATTCATGCACAGATTTCCCCCTAGTACAGTAGTACAGATCTGTATCAGCACTATGGTGATTGAAACCAAACTGAATTCAAAAGACTCTTTTGATTAGAAATAAATTACTCTATTTACATAATTCTCCAGGACAATACATTCCCCACATACAGGCTTTTATTAAGCTTCTCATGTGTAACTGAGCATATACACTACATCTGACATGCTAACAAAGTTGTCAGGAGCCAGTACTTTTTTTTCCTCCAGACATTTGTGGCATTCATGGACTTCACACAAACGTTTCAAGATCTGTTTCCAGTTCTAAGCACAGTGATAAAACATTTGCCAAAAAGTTGTAATCTCACAGACACCATGTGCCAGAAACATACAAGGATTTTCAAGAGTACACACAGCGGAAAAAGCAACAGGTAGGAGAGCAGATCTTTTAAGATGTCTATACTGCAATATGACATGGTGCACCTCTCAGAATGGATTTCTGTGTCCTTAAATAGGAGTAGGGGCACAAGTGGTACAGGCTTTTAATATTAAAAAAAAAAAAAAGAGACTTATGTAGCAGAGCTACATTTCAATGCTCAGTCTTTACACAGAAAAACTTAGCATTTGAGAGCTATTGTCTTGATGCCCAAAAAAGAAAAACTGAAAAAAAAAAAAAACAACCCAACCTCATGGTCCGGCTCATGCCTACATTCCATGCTTTGTTAGTGTAAATGTGACACCATTATGTGTAGTTTAAGATTAATCTATTCACAGCTGATCAAAAGTTTCAGACAAGTGTATCTTTACACGTTAAGATCATGTACAGAACATGAGATTGGAAGGCTTACTGTAGCTGAACCAAACCAAAACTATTAGGCATCTTGCTTCCATTTACAATGGTCGAAAGTGTCCTAGTTGGATGGTCCACAGAGAAACCAGTAACTTTCAAGTGTTATGTATTACCCTATCCACATCTGTTGTACAAGGAACAAGCTCTTAATACAGTACATTCCTACACATCTGTAATCCTGCTGTGAATAACTTAAGTAAAGCATGTTGAAGCAGCAGCCCTTTCTTTAGCTGGGAGTGATCTTCCTAGTTTGATGTGCCATGTAGGCAACACTTAACTGAAATAATCACAAGGGAGTGAAGTAACAAGCTTCAGTTTGGCAGTAGATTTATAATGATTAAGCTGAACAGTAGTTACAGACTGAAAAGAAGTTATGTATCCACAGTATATGTACAATATAATTAACTTCTCCAAAGAGTTTTTTCAATGTTATATTTTAAAGGTTGCCTTCAAATTAGGGATAAGTCCTTTAAATGCTTGAAAGGCATAAAAATTCCCCTTCCCACAGAAAAACCCAAACAATGTATTTTAGTTTCAAAAATATTTTGAACCCACAAACAAGCTTGGTATCAATTAATCTGGTAAAATAGCTATGTGCTAAATAAAAGCACATCTGGTGGAAAGAGCGCAAAGAATGTTACAAGTGTGCTTAGTTTTGCTTGCAGCATCTGGCAGTGGGTAGCAAGACAGAGGCAGGAATCTCAGTGGGTCTCCTCCTGTGTCTGTTCTGCAATGGTTTCTGTGGCACTAGCGTTGGCGGCAGAGTTCAGAACTTCTCCAAAGTCTCCCCCAGCGGGTTTGCTTCCTCCAACTTTAGACTAGAACACAGAGAGCGTCTCAACAGAAAACTGCAGTTATTTGGCACCTCAAGCAGGGCTAACTATATAAAAACAGCATCTCTGCATCAAAAAGTTTAATAAGCGTTTCCAGTAAAGCAGCTTTTCCAGGACTGGGCTACCTCCACAGTAACGCAAAAGGTAAGTCTCAAGTATCAGGTGGAGAAAAATCAGTAGAAGCAGCTTAACGTAACAACCTCCCTTTGGCCTCAAGATACACAAAACATGAGGCAGTCCTAATTGTAATGAGCCTGAAGGTTGGCACATATACTCAGTTAAAAGTGGATACAGGTATGCAGTCTTTCAAGCCATTTAAGCTTTGAAAGATTCAGAATTAAAACTAACTCTTTTATTGCTCCCTGAACAATTTTCAGGCTCAACAAGGCATCTTCAGTTCTGTAGTGGAGTGTATCAACTACTCTACTTCTTTCAGTAATGTGTTTGTCTTTTTGCTTCTCAGTACAGGACCTACTCCACGGGCCAGCATGAATGTTAGGGACATTTAGTCCTCTAGAGGACTGTTAGTTCCCCATGCTATTGCGTCCATGCTTCTCATCCAACCAAGTGTTTCCATGAGACAGGACAATCAAATCCGGTTCCTATTATAAATATTGGCAATTTTTAAGGTGCATTTTTAACAGGAGAAGCCATTAATGTTTTTTTCTGGCACTTAGGGCCTTTGGGTTTGAAATTTACTCACAGATGCAAACACCTTAAGTATTTATGTCAGAAATATAAGACAAACCTCCCAGGCTATATTCCTGTATGGAATAGTAGTCCTTAGGCAGGCTTGGAAATAAAAGCCTAGACCATTCTGGTCAGGGGGCTGACCTGCTGGAAAGCCGCTCTGCGAAGAAGGACCTAGGAGTCCTGCTGGACAGGGGGCTGACCATTAGCCAGCAATGTGCCCTTGCGGCCAAGAAGGCCAATGGTATCCTAGGGTGCATTAGGCAGAGTGTTGCCAGCAGGTCGAGGGAGGTGATCCTCCCCCTCTCCTCAGCCCTGGTGAGGCCTCACCTGGAGTACTGTGTCCAATTCTGGGCTCCCCAGTACAAGGGAGACATGGAGCTACTGGAATGAGTCCAGCAAAGGGCTACAAAGATGATGAAGGGACTGGAGTTTCTGTCACATAAGGAAAGGCTGAGGGAGCTGGGACTGTTCAGCCTGGAGAAGAGAAGACTCAGGGGGAGATCTGATCAACGTGTATAAGTAACTGAAGGGAGTCGGACTCTTTTCAGTGGTACCCAGCGATAGGACGAGAGGCAACGGGCACTAACTGAACCACAGGCAGTTCCGTCTGAACCTCAGGAAAAACTTCTTCACTGTGAAGGTGACTGAGCACTGGAACAGGTTGCCCAGAGAGGCTGTGGAATCTCCTTTCCTGGAGATATTCAAAACCCGCCTGGACACAATCCTGGGCAATGTGCTCTCAGTGACCCTGCTTGAGCAGGGAGGTTGGACTAGATGATCTCCAGGGGTCCCTTCCAACCTCAACCATTCTGTGATTCTGCAGTTCTGTGATATAATACTAGGTATGTTATATTAGCCATTTGTGCAGGTTAGATAGCTATTAGTCCTTTCGATTAAGGGCATCCTCCTACAAGAGGCTCAGGATGCCTATTTAACGTTCTCAAATCATTAGACAGAGAAGCCATTTCCACAGTACTTAAAAATAAGTCATCTAAGCACTTTCAACAGTTTACCAGTGACTAAAAAGCCAGCTACCCAGACTCCACTTAAGTGTTTTCTTCACATATACAGATCCACAATCGTTCAGACATTTTAGTAATGCTTACCTTTAAGTTTTCAACTTTTTCCTCAAAAGATTTGAAAGTTGAAGAATTTCTAGGGAGAAAAAAAACCACACTCAAAATTAAAACCACCTCTAGTTAGTCTATAAATAACAGAAGACAAGGAAACAGTTGCTTTTTTGAATGTCAACATGCATTTTGTTTCAGCTTTTTTCTTTGTTTATATGGGTATAACACAAAAATAATTTAGATGCAAATCTTCAAGAGTACTACAAAACTGAACTTCAGATATACTAAAGTTGCAGTTCATTTTTGTCTTTGAGTCAAGCTACTCAGAAAAAATAGAAATCAGCACCGTAAATGAGCTTTGCCAGTCTCAGTGGTAAGATCTTTCATCAAAACACAGAAAGGAGAACTAGCGAGCATTTTAAGTTTAACTTATTTTTCCCATCAATTTCACAGGCTTCTCGATTACAGGATTTGTTTCAGAAAAGCTCAGTCATCACTTCTGGTTAGCCTAGTATATTGCTAAAGAAAGCTTGTTATGGTAGAGGTTTTTTGCTTGTTACAGGTAAGCTAGTTTAATTTAATGAGCTAGGCGTTCAGTTAACAAACCATGGTTCACATTGGCATTTTCTGCTAACGTGTTGAATTAAAGGGAGACTCCCCCTTGCTTTGTAAGGGCTGGAGACAGCTGTGATCACAGACAGTAATTACTGCATGTGAAGAGCAGGATAGCTCAGAATTTACCATGCTGAGGGGCCAGTGCATTACTATTAGGGTCAGAAGAGTTGCTCTATGCTCCTGCTAGCTCTCAGTGCTATTTGCAAATTTGTGCAATAGCTTGTGCACCTTAGCTGTTATGCAGAATGGAGAATGCTTGCCTTCAGCAGACCAGGAACTAAGGATTCATAGGCAGGCTCCAAAAAGTATTACTGTGTAATATGAAAGAAAGGATGCGTTTTTGAAAAAGGTCTTAAGCTTCCCCTGCCTTTCCCTTGCTTAGCATTTGTGTAGATCACCCACAATTAGCAGCACTCTCATTTGAGAAAATACACAGTAACAGTAATCAGCACATTCATCAAACCCAGACTCTCAGGGGACTGAGGGACACAGAGCCAAGCAAGAGCAGAGAAGAGGCGAGCACTCAAAGTCAGCAAGAGACTTTCTGTGAAAACACAGTATTTCCTACTCACTTTCATAGACAGTTCTAAAATAGATGCTAAGCTGCTGTCTTCAAAACTTAGAATCATTTAGCGGTGCTACATTTCTAATGGGCAGGGAAAAGTTGTTTCAATTCTTAGAACAGCAAAAAAAGTACACTTCATTGCAGTCTAGATATGCAATAACCATTAACATTAAGCAGAACAATTTTTATCCTATACTTTAGTACTGGTAATTCATTACAAAAAAAATTTTTTTTTATTATTAATCTGTATTAGTTTATTACATTTCAATTTGATTGGATTCCACACGTGAAAATAAATATACCCAACATGAATTATACATACATTACCTCATAATAGGCATGCTAATTGAATGTTGTATGGAGCGTATACTAAATGCCAGCATTAAGAAAAAAGAAAGCAAGAGATTAGTTTAAATGATTGGCTGAGAAGAAATTTGCTTAGAAAGGTGGTTCTAGATACTATCTTCTAGTAAATAGCAAAATAGTCTTGTGCAGCAACTCCTTGGTTTTGTCTTTTTTTAAATTGCTTGGCCATGCACACACACGTACAACAAAGCAAAAGCTGTAACAACTTCCTGCCCCCCCCTTAAAGTGCCATGCTTATTAGTAAGTACATATCCTGCATACCTGCAATAACCTACTTAAGTTTTTCAAGCAATGAGAAACGTCCTTCCTTTCTAAGTTTTGACAGTATCAAGCAGAAAGTGAATACTGAAGCATCTTATCAACTAATCTGCCCACTGAAAGAATTATTCCTACATTCAGAAGGCTTCTAGTCCCAATCCAGTATAAAGTTTCCATATTCATCTATGCAGATTATCTAGAGAGAGCAGCCATATTAACACATATTCAAAATCTGGTTAAGCGGGCGGGGACCTGAGGGGGAAGAGATCATTTGTTTTATCAGACTGTCCTAGTCTCAATCCTGTTCTGAAATTTTTGGAGGATTTCTGTAACCTGCCAACATTGCTTGATGCTTACTGTTTGTTTAGTTTCAACACGTATCTGCTCCTACAAATTGAGTGGATATAGATTAAGCAGCTCCCAGATAGCTTCAAGACTACCCAAAATCTAATTTAGTTCCATATTCTGGAAAATCCTTATTTACTCTTGATATGAATTATTCTAATATGTTATATGTTTCTCATCAAATACCACAGGAGCAAGTTAGAAAAACTGGTAACAGTTTTTCATAACTATGTTTGAATTACCTAATTTTGACTGGGCTTTATAACATCTTTCAAGAGAACTCTCTCCCAGCAATTGCTGGGGGCTGAGGAGGGGAAAAAATCTTACCTGTGTTGCACCTCCAAAACTTAAATTAGTATCGCAACACAATGGAAGATATGTTCACGCAAGCAAGAAAGGCTCCATGCACGTGGAGCATTGCATCTGAAATTTTAAGATATTCTTTCAACAGGCTCATCAGTAGAATGCAGGAATGAAAAACATCGACACATGTAAACAAGTTCCCTTATGGTTGGGTAGCTGAATGCACAACTTAGATTGTTTTATGGGTATGATATGCTGGAAATCAGATACTTGAGGGCCAAACACTATCCTGCCACATGTCAGTAATACCTAGCCATGTTTCACCCCTTTCCCCTCACCCCATTCCCGCTGCTTTTCATCTTTCCTGATCATCTGGCCTCCATGAATTTTTCCAGAGCATGCAGAGGACGACTGCCTTCAGGACTGTCATTTATATTCCCTGTTCTGTGCTGTGGACTACTAGAAATCCTGATTTTGCTTTGTGCCAAGTTTTAGTACAGAACTAGGCTGATACGGCATAATTCTCTTTGTCCAGCCATGGTCAGCCACTGTCCCTTACCCTGCAAGAAGGGCTGTTAATGTTTGAGACTGAAGAGGGTGAAGGATACCTGTTTTGCCCTCTGTATTACAATCTGCAAGCCTGCTCACACAGAAAAGCAGCTAGCGTATACTGCAGATCTTGTTCAAATAGTTGTCTAAAGAAATTGAATTCAATCCCATAGAGACCATTTAACGGAAAAGCTATTTGTATATTTGTGAAGCGCTTACTTGCTGTTGTACAACTTACGTATACTCAGAACCTGTTTTGTAAAGCTGCACCACAAGAGAATATAGTTTTAGTACTGAGAGATTTGGTTTGCAAGGGAACCATACCAGAGCAAGCGCACTGCAGCTGATCCCCCCCTCAAATCAAATCACCTGTTCTGAAGCAGTACAAAGAAGTAAAATCAAGTTTTATAAAACTTTACAAAGAAGAGAACTCTATTTTAATTTTCTTGAATTATGGGAATGCCACATTAAGGCACTCACTCAAGTAGGCCATGATGCTGGGCAGTGTGAAGACGGTTTTACAACAATCAGAAGAAAATCCCTATCTTAAAATAAATAATAAAAAAAAGAGCCACAGTAAGTCGCTCTCCGGCTTTGTATGTATTTACTGTTGCATTAAAAGTTTTGTAATGCATTATATGCAAGTGTTTTACAGTTGCTTCCCTTTGACTCATGTTTTGAAACTGGAGAGTAAAACATGCCAGAGTCCCTGCCCAGTAAGCAGAGGCTTAAAAACTCATAAGCATTAGTTAGTTGGTTTTGTTAGTTAATAGTTAGGTTTCCAGTTGACAAATGATGATATTTAGGAAGCGGTGATCATATCCGGTTTCCAAAGCAAGCATAGAAAGTTATTCAAGTTATTCTACAATCTCAGAACAGGGCGAGGATGAAGGTTTCAGCTGGGTAACTCCTCCTGCGCTGCATTCACACTGTGTGCAAAGTCGTAATGACTGCTCAGATGTTTGCCGAGAGCTGCATCTTGGTACTTCTGCTTCTCACATTGCCTACAAGATGGCTAGCTAATCAAAGTTCAAGACGGTCATACAAAGGAGAATAAAGGTATTAAGAGAAACCTAGTAAGGGACAGAGTTAATTTTCAGCATAACAAAAAGAACGCAGAGGAAGCATGCAGCAAAAGAAAGCAATAACGCTCTGACTTTGCACTACAAGTCCTCTCTCTTCTTCTCTATTTGATTCCTTTTCCTGTTCCCAGATCCACTAGTGGTCTTATTCCCTTTTACAACTCCCTCCAAAACCACTTCACAGGGCATGAAGACCTGCATATGATATTTGCTGCATGGAATATTTGAAAATAGTCCAACACAGAAGAAATTCCGTTACAGCTGAAGAGTCTCTAAGCTAGGACAGTAAGGCCACTTGAAAGTTTAGTGAGAATATTCAGTATTTTTTAAGTAAGTATTGGGCTCATCGGCTCTTAGTTTCCTGTGCAGGCTTAATAGGAGACATCAGTTTACTGATTACATAATTCAGGGACCTGAGATCACTGGTCAGAAGTTTCTGCCTCCCACTCAAGTGCAAGTAAGGTCCAGAACAGTACTAATTCTCTGCAGCCTTCCCCTAAAAAAATAAATAAATAAAAACACCGACACTGCTCCTGAATTTATAGCCATACCTAGAATTTGCACTGCCATCGTTCTCCCCAAGAAGCACACCTACAACACAACTCCTCTGGCCCCGTGCTCCTTATGCTCCCTTCTACTCAGTGGCTGAGCTTCTGGTGGAGAGCAGTTAACACCAGCCTAGCCACTAACTTGGGGTAGGCAGGATACTCTTGTTGGATGCGGAGATATTGAATTCTTGAGACCAGAAGAGAGCTTTGAGTCCACGCTCGTTTGCTAGAATAATCTATTACTAGTGGGGGAAACACCATAGCCTTAAGGAAGAAAGGTGCTCCTGCTAAGGGAGCAGTTGTTCTCTGCATCCTAAAGGAACAGAGACATCTTCTGGTCTCCCTCTGTCATGCTGATGACAAAGGGGAGGTCATTTTAGACAGGCTACTATTCCTGTACTTGAGCAAACTGTGCTCACTTCGCAGAATTTCTGCTCAGCACAGAGCCAGAATTCTGATACCATCCTATGCTGCCCAGACTCTGCCTACAGGACTAAAGCTCTTAGCTGATGTTCTAGGAGCCCAGTACCGACATCCTTAAACACTTTACTGCTGCCTTTAGCTACTTACTGGGGGGATACAAGGAAGATGCAGCCAGACTCTTCTCAGAGGTGCACAAAGATAGGACGGGAGGCAATGAATAGGAGTTGCTACCCAGGAAATTTCAATTAAATAAGAAAAAAAGTCACAGGAGGATTGTCCGACATTTGAATAGGTCACCCAGATAGATTACAGAATCTCCATAGTTAGAGAGAGACATATAACTTAAATGGACAAGGTCCTGAACAACCTGATCTAGTTAGACCTCTGAGTAGGAGGCTGAACTGGATGACCTCCAGAGGATCATTCTGACCTTAGCTATTTTATGATTCTGTCATCTTTCATTCTGCTCAACTCTGAGCAAGCAGCTAGAGGAAAGCCAACTTCAGACAGTTTCACATTGGCCACGCAGAATGGGATGACATCAAGTTACAGTGATAGGACAGAGATAGGAGAAGGTATTAGAAATGGAGCACTCCATATTAAATGCAGCTCTTCTGATGCCTGTTGACCCCCATGGCAACATTAAGAGTAATTTGGGTACTTTTTGCAAAGTCGGTCTGAATTCAGATTGTACTTCCTTTATTCACGCTCCCTTTATACACACATGCATTTGTTAGGCATATTATCCTTTAAGCGCAAGTCATTGCTCCTTTACAGCCATCAACTTTCAACTTGCAGCATTAATACCATAAGCCCCGACTTACATGCCGTCACAGTTAACTACTGAAATCTTTACACTGAATATTTGCTTAAAGTAAGTAGATAAAAGGCCAGGGCTGCCAAGGTAACTGAACTATTCAGTATCTGGAGGTGCTAAAGTCATCGTTCAAAGATAAGGACAATTTCACGGGACAAACTACGAACAGAAAATACATAAACTATTTTGCATGTAGACTCTATTAATTTAGATCAGAGCCACAGTGCTAAACAACTGCTGTAATAGACACCAAGAGGGGAAGTTGCTATTCTATCAAGGCACAAACACTGTACAGACAAAGAAAAGAAGGAATTCTGCATGCCATTGACCTCAAAACTGTGTCCTGTCTCTACCATTTTAACAGCTTCCTTTCTTATGAGAGAGAAAGGCAGAGGGAAGGGGGGAAGGAAAAAAAAAAAAGAAAAAAACATACAAAGAGAGCGAGCATGCGTGAGCAAGAAACAGAACGAAAGCACGCATGCGCGGGCGAGCGAAACAGAGAGAGCAGGAGTGCACGTCACTGATTATGTATTCTTAAGACTTCATGTTCTGGGATACTTACTAAGTGAACATGAAGAAATATCTTCCCTGACATTAAAAGAGCTACAGTTTTACAATTCCCAATGCTGGAGAAGTTACTTTTACAGACAAAAGTCATATTAAGATTTTAATGGAGACAGTCTGACTACATGCTTTGTTTTAATAACAGTTCTTGTGCCCACCTTACCTAAAGGAATGTGAAAATGCTTGCAGTCTGCACAATGCCAGAGTAAGCATTAAAGAGAGAAAGGAAGTTCTGATAAATCTAAAGCAAAGTATTTAACTGTGTAGCTACACCTCAAAGTGTTTTCTCATTAGACTGAGAAAAGCAAAAAAGAGGTTAATGGCAGCACTTTCAAACAGAGGGCTGATTTTACTACATTCTTTTCCAATACAATATTCCCTTATCACGTATGATTTTTATTTGTCCAATAATTGAAAAATATAAATTTGATCCACTCTTCATGCTAAGTTGTAACCAGAGATGAGCGGTTTTATACGTTCCAAAAGTAAGACTTATATAATCAAGTAAAAAAATGTAAATTAAGCATATGAATGAATTGCACTCAGGAAGACTTTTCATGAAGCTCATAACACATACAGTGTTAAAAATGTCCACCAAACTTGCCTACTTTGCATGAAGGGCTGCGTCATTTGACACAGAAGGTCAAACTAATTTTTGTATGCTAATACTTAAGAACTAACAAGCGTCAATATTCTATTAAAAAGGTAATAAAATCAAGCCATTTCTATGAGGTAGAACAGTTTAAAAAGAAACAAACATGACTTAAGGAATCCAAACACACTATACAGGACACACTAAAAAAAAGTCTAAAAATGTTCAAAGTTTAAGTGTAGCATTCCAAAGATTGAGAAAGCCAGAGAAGAGAAATGATGCTGCTATATACAAGTACAGGCAAAGACATTGCCACCTGCAATGCTACCACAAGACCAAGCAGAGTAGCCCTGGAGGAAATAGCACACGTTGTTTCTCTTGCACATGGTAAAATACACACCACTCAGCGCTTCTGCGTGAGTGAGGAGGCACAAGCACGTTTTGCAGCAAGTCATTCAGCACTCCTAAAACAGATGCTGAGGCTTCCTGATAGATTAACTTGTAAAAAGCTAGGTACGTTAACAGCATGGGCTTATTTCAGTGATTAGCTATTTAAAAATCAAAAACGCAACTACTTGGGAAAAGCTAAAGAAACCTACCTCACATCTTCAAACTTCTTGGTTATGACTGAACCAACGGACGAAAAGGCAGCAGAGGCCTTCTGACCAGCCTGAGACAGGGTTTCTGATGTTTTCTTGTATCTGTGTTCAAACAAAATTAAGTTTATACTTATCTTAGTAGAACACATAAGGAACCTTTTAGTATACTTAAATTTGTATCAAACCCAGAGATACACTCCAAATTTGATGGGGACTGAACAAGCTACAAAAGAGATTAGATTCAATCCTTGCAGTCCCTTTCGGCTACAGCATCTCTGCCACCTCAAATTTCAGATCAAATTCACTGACATTCAAGTACCACTCCACCCCCAAAGCAACTGTAAGCAAAAATGCTCTAATGTCACTGGTAGTTTATTTACCTGCAAATCATTGGTGCCTGCAACCCCTGCTATTGTAGGACTTTTTAAAATTATAAATAAATAGAAACACCTTAGCTATACACACACAGGAAAAAAGAGCAGAGGTTTATGTTTTTGTGTCAAATATCTGAAATCTTATACAGAACAGTTTGGTCAATAAACTTTGCCGTAACAGTTTTCCTAGTAAGAGGTACATCTTCTTTCAGTCTTTAAAAGTCATTAATTGCAGTAAGAGGCAGTTCAGTCCTGTCTTTAAGTTAACGGTTTTATTTGGCAAGAATATTAACTACAACTTCATGTTCTTCCTACATGAGCTGAGTTTACCACAATTTTTCAGTTTGGAAGAGAAGGGATTGTTGGATTTAGGACACTCTGAGCACTACTTCATTAGTACTTTGTTCTGGCAGGCAAGAAGTGTATTAGACTCTCCTGTATTATAGTAGCTCATTCTTATTTTGCACGAGATGACATGGTTAATAGTAGTCTTCTTGGAAGAAGGCTACAATGATTTTTCCAAGTAAGTTTGAGCGGAGCTTAACTTTGTATCACCTATTGTCATCTAGTTCCACAAGAACAGCAGGTTTAGACGTGACACAAGAACTACACAGCTTTCACCTCAACAGCTGAGACAGACCATCATGAACTGGTACATACGCTGTCGTTGATGTGACATCTTGCCAGCCTTTGGTGATGTTCTGCTTTAGTTCCTGCAGTGAGTTAATTCCCAGCTTCCTCTTGATTTCTGCTAGATGCTTCTCTTTGGCAGCTAGCACTTGTGAGAGTGTCTGGATTTCCTCTTCTACCTGTGGCAGCAGAGTTGATGATAGAAGCGTGATCTAAGCAGCCATTTAACTATGTATTTATGAAAAGCATCTACTAAGCATCAGTCACGGAGAAGCTGACATGTTTCTAACGTTTCTTCAGTTACTTCAAAATTCCGAAAGGGAAATCCAATGTCCTCTACAACAAAAGCCAGGCAGTCAGAAAGAAATACACTTGCAGCTATTCCTGTTATTGGAATATGCAAAAGGAAATTGGTAGCTCTAAAAGACAGGACAGTTAGAGACAAAAGTAGTTGTCTAGACCAGACAGGGTAGTTACTTTTTGATAGCATTAACCAATGTGAAGTTCAAAGATCAGTCAAACCTGAGACCATCCTCAAGCCTATATTTTTCTTTCAGGTCAGAAGAGATACAGAGTTAAAACAGTACCAGGAAGCTCAGAGCATATCTCTTCCATGCACAAGTTTTGTCTCCTTGCTCAAACAGAAAGGTTCTTTTGTGGCTTATCCCAGAAACTTTAGGCTGGATCCACCCACGGCAACGCCTTCCCTAGCCTTACAGTGCCGTTTTGTGGCCCGTGTAGATGTGATAGAGGCACTAAGGCCACATGTATGAAGGCAAAGGGCACCAACCCTACTTCCTCATCCAGACTGGACCACCATTTTTAGGATGGCAGGCTGACCATTCATTTAAACTCATTTGTGGGAAAAACAGTATCTTCAATGCACCTTTATTTTTGATGCCCCAGTTTGAAGTCCAGCGCGATGTACCTTAGCAGGATCAGACTTCCCCTGTCATCTTCAACTGATGAGTTTGGCATGAAATAATCCTCAGGACTAAAACCAACACTGCATTAAATAGCTATGCTGGTATTTCACAGCTAACCTTGAAACACCAATCTTAGACACAAGTTCTGTCTTGTATATCCTTTAGGGTCCTAAATTCTCACAGAGCTACAAAGGAAAAAAGCCTGGCCACTCAAAGCAGCTCGAGTTCATCAACTTTTGAAACGCATGTACCAGGTTTGATCATTTGGCTCTTCTTTTAAGAGCAAGTTAAAGCAGCATTCTTCAAAGTTAAAAATTTTTTTGCTACTATGAATTATGGATAAGAATAGTTACATGGTTAACCATTAGCAAGGCAGCACACACATATTATTGCAGAGTGCCCTTCATGCCAATAACAGGTTCAGTCACTCCACACCAGTTGAGAAAATACTTGGTTTCAGCTTCTAGCCTCCTGCTCTTTGACAGCTTATTTACCCCCTTCTCACGTGAGAGAAAAAAGGGTTAGACGTGTACATGTTTTGGTTCGAGTTCTGTGCGCTAAGTACTTCTCTAGCTTCAGTTCCCGTAGGGAGAACTGGACGTTCTCTTCTGGACACCTTCCATTTCCCTCCCCACTACACGGGAGTGCTGTACCGAGCTTTAGACACTCTCCGAACGAATATGCAAAGCATGAACTCTGTGTTCAGTCATTTCAGTAACAGCATTACCCCAGATTTTCCTTCTCAAGGCCTATTTGAAAACTATTTGCAAGAGAGTAGCAGATTTACCTTAGCAAGTTCTTTCCTTAGTTCGTCCTGTTCTTCTTCTGACAGCGTTTCCGACATACTAACTGTAGCAGCAGCATCCTCCCCAACCTCAGGTATAGAGTCAGTTTGCAGCAGTCCTTGAGGTAAATAAACCATTAAAGATCACGTCATCATGTGTTTGCCAAACAGACACCAGCTACATGTTAACATAGATCCTGTTTGTTCCAGTGCACAAGTGAAACAGGTAGGAGGACACCGAAGTCATGGTCCCCAAGCACTTCGGTGCGCAGGAAACCAGAAGGCCTTCCAGACTTTCTTCTAGCGAGTTGCTTTAAAGCTCAGTGTGATCTCAACTTTGACTAAAGAAGGGAACTGGAAACAAACATGCTGAGAACAACGTGGTCCACTGCCTTGGTAGAAACCAGGGTTATGGAGCACCATCTCTCAACCAGTGGTTCACAGGCAATTTCTGCACTTACTGCTCTATCTCACTCACGCAGCGTGAAACTCTGGCAGCGTCAGGGGCACTCCAGATCAGCACAGAAGGCTCCCTCCTTCACTGCTCTTCGGGTCAGAGAAAAATGCCTGTACTCAACGTACTACTAGCCGAGAAAGGGGTTACGCTGCAAGCATAAACGCACCCACATGTCCTGGCTCAACCTCTGCGTCCCCTGTAACTGGGACCATTGCAACTAGCAAAGCGCAGGTGCTGCCGAGCTAGAGGTAAGCCGCCGCCTTCCTCCTCGACATTAAGGCAGTTCCATTTTAAACACCTTTTAATGCAGTGAACAGATTTTCCAGCAAAAGAGTTCCCATTTTGAATCTCTGAAGCTGAAACTTAAACATGGAGTTTGCCAGAATAAAAGAAACCTATGCTAATTTGCAAATATGCTAATTTGCAGGAAGACTGGATACTGGAAAGGTTCTGGAAACCCCAAACTAACAGACTATTCAAGAAGTAAAATTGCTGCATGTTGCTTTACAATTACAATTAGTACCAAAAAAAACTTAAAATAGAAGAGAACAAACCAAGGGTTTTTTCATTTATTTGAAAGGAGAGGGGTCTGTATGTAAAAATAAATAAATAGTTAAACAAACCAGGAATGAGGTAGAGCTTTGTGTAAATAAATAATAAACCGGAAGTGGAAAAGAGTTATGTGTGGATCTTTTCCAGCTATTAGCTAGTTATTCGGTTAACAACAGGCTGGCATTGAAGTGTTTCAGGTGTAACACGAGGACAACCATTTTTTCTGTCCCTTCATATAGTTAGAAATACACTTATTCAGACAAAATGAGGACACATTAAGTAACGTACCCTGACTGGTCACGATAACAATTAACCAGAAAACATTCCATCCTCATCGCAGCAGCTTTTGCTGGCACTGCGTAATACCATTTTGTCCGAGAATCAGACAACTCATTAACAAGCAACGAGACCACCACTACAATTTCATTGTTAGACTTGATATCAAACAGCTACAATACAATCAACTGAAAAGTTGAGGGGGGGGGGCAAAAAAAAGATTTTGCCTGTCCAAAATTAGCTGTATGTATTCTATGAACCATGCTCCTAGCAGCTGACAAGCCTGACAAAGGAGAGCCCTTTTTCCCTGATTCAAGGAAAGCTTGATTCCACAAATTCTTTCCCTAACAGTGTGTTTTCAGTCTGTATTTGTAACCAGAATACTTGTCCTCTATAAGGAGCACACTGCTACGTGGACAGAACATTTGTAAGGGTTAAGGTAGCCATGGAGTACACTGATAAGCAAGGGTATAGAAATAGAAAATAACTTAAACCTCATTTCGCAAACTTTTATTTATGGAGTCTGTACTACATTTTTCCAGAGATTTGTGTCTGTCTTCTAGACTAACATAACGTAGTTTCTATAGGTCTCCTGCCACACTTTTCTGATAGAAATCTAGGGAGAAAAGAATGTTTTAAGTTTAATGCCCAAACCAAGCATAGCACTACAGCACTGAACACAAAAGGATTACTGCCCACATCCTACAAACTTTATTTACATATCCCATTAGCATATTCCCTTTTCTTAACAACAAGCTGTCAAAAATGCCTTTCTGTTTCCTTAACTTGCTGTTTGTGCTGTTAATTATGTATGCCTAACTGAAGGAAAACGGCAACAATTTCAATTGCATCTTTCCCCCACACTCTACAAGCTCTGGTACGGGAACCTCTTTCTGAACGTTGACCTCGTTCTAACTCTGCAAGCCCTCAGGGACTACAGAACTCACCATTTCAAAAGCGTTTCCAGAAAGTTTTTTGAAAGTCACACAGAATCAGAATCACACAGAATGGCTGAGGTTGGAAGGGACCTCTGGAGATCATCTAGTCCAACCTCCCTGCTCACGCAGGGTCCTCTAGAGCATATTTCCCAGGATCACATCCAGACAGGTTTTGAATATCTCCAGGGAAGGAGAGTCCACAACCTCTCTGGGCAACCTGTTCCAGTGCTCTGTCACCCTCACAGTAAACAAGTTTTTCTCATGTTCAGATGGAACTGCCTGTGTTTGTCTGCTCAGTCTGGTTATGAAGAGTCACCTGGATTATCTCACCGAAAATAGATCAAGTGAATTCAGCAGTAGGAAAACATGCTGGATGGTCTCCCATATTATTTGTTTCTATTTGGGTTTTGAGTTCTATTTCTATTTGCATCTTATTTTTGGAAAACTAGTGTTTTAAGGGAGTTTGTGCTGCTTGCTGCCTACACTGAACTTAAGATTCAAAACTAAGCAGCTAGGGAAACACCTCCTCTTCCTTTCCTATTTCTACATCTGGTAAGAAGGAAATCTCTGCTATTCAGAGTCCTCCATGCCCCACCTTGTACATCTCCCTAAGCCTTCCCCTCCTCTTGCCTTCCCCTCCGCAGTTTATTACTTTAGTTCCCTTTTTAGTATCCAACACCCTCCATTCGCCTTGATTCTGGCACTTTGCCTCACATCCCCTCTCCTTGCTTAACTTCAGTTTGTCTCAGTTTACTTCAACACTTGCAGGACACAAGAGTGCACCTGCACTCTTTCAACTAGGAAGCAAGAGCTACCCAGCCTGATGAAGGAGCAGCTGCCTAGACGGACAGCCTGCAAAAACTCTGCGGCAGCTTGGCTGCAACCCAGATTCACCACAGGAACTAGTACTGACAGACAACGAAATCCTGGCTTTACGCCAGCTTCCTCTGGAAAGGCGCACAGCGCACCTTGGATGTTTATGGTGTGGGGGGCAAGAAACCAGGCAAAATGCAGCCAGCCAGTAAACGGAAATACTTCAGCTCAATCTGTTATCAAAGAGCATTCGTCACTTGTGCTCTTCTCTCTTCACCTGCAGAACTCTTAATATTGGGTTCCAATTTGTTACCTTTCATTGCATTATTTCTCTCACATTTTGACTAGCAAATCGCTTAATTTAGTATTTTGGTATTCTGATTGCTGTAACCAAGTTCAGCGTTAGCACTTCAAGTGTCTTAAATGCAGTGAAAATTCCACAGAGGGACCTCCAATATTGGGAATACTATTATCGTCTTACCTAGTTTTAAGGTCAGTTTCTAGGTGTTTGTACTAGGACTGACATACTCTATCCCATCCCTTTGTTAGATCTACTGAAATGACCCAAGTAAAGCCACCGAGAATTCAGTTGATTAGTACTCTGAAAAACGCATTCATGAACTGCCAGGGAAACAGAATTTTAAACCCCATCAGCCTGTTACGGTAGGCAAAGTATTAGAGCCATTCAACTTACACTCACGTTTTCTGGTCTAGAATGTGCTTTGGGTTTGGTTGGTTGGTTTGGGGTTTTTGCTTTTTGGGGAGGTGTTTTTCCCCCCCTCAACCCAAACTCATGCTCTATTTTGACCTGAAGTTCCTACCATTTTTGCTGGCCTGAATTCAAAGACTAGCAAGAAACTTCAGTCATTCAAGGAAGTACTCGTCATTTTAGATGAGCAGCGTTTGGAGGGAGTTCATAGTGTTCATAAAGCTTTAGACAGACATATTCTGCGTCAGACAGAATAAACATTTCGGCAATCAACGTACAGTTGGCAAAACTACAGAAAAAAGGTGCTTGCTAGAGTTCAAAAGAACAAGCTGTTACAAGTTTTTAAGATCATTCCAACACTTAAGCAATCACGGGAGCGTCAGCACTACAGAGCATACTTATTCTCCAATATATAAGAACAAATTTAAGTGCTTCCCATTTATCCAAGTGAAAAAGCCGGAGCCAAACAAGTATTTCTTCAGCTTGGGGAAGAAAGTTCTTCGGCTTCTCCCAAACACAGGGATCATATAATCATTTAAAGCGCCTGATGCACTGCTATTAGACGCAAAGAGCTGCTTCTCCCCCTCTAGAAGAGGAGGGCGACACAGGAATTTGAGGGAAAGCTGACTTGAGCACTGCTCCGTGGAGGCCATTTAGTTCACGGAGCAGCTTTAGCTCCTGCAGGGCTTGCCCAGGGGATGCGTGGTCTCATTAAGATTTCACGGCACAAGCCCACAGAAGAGGCAACACCTCTGCAGCTCAGTTTTGCTTTGTTACACCCGAGGCAGGGCTACGCTTTCTCTATTTTTTAATTACTCTGGAGAATCAGGTTCCAGGAAGTGTTACGTTCAGTCCTATCGAGGAAGATAACGTCCATTAGCATGGAAAGGAAAGATGTGGTAAAAAATAGCTGTTTTGTCCAGCAGCTTATCTAGTAGAAACTAGTGCGGCCGAGCCTCAGGGGCACACATCTACAGCCCTAAGATTTACAGCCTTTCACACGCTAGGTGGAACTGAGTGAAGGTTTTAAGGGTAATTTTGTTAATCAGTGATATTTTTAATACTAAGGCAACCACAGATATTAGTATAATTTCAGAGCTCTATATATTTTAAAGTATGTAATTCCAACCTCAGGAAAAAAGCTAAGAGTCAAACTAGGCCAATTATCTCAATCGTGCAGAACTTCTTCCTGGTTTTTTCTGCTCGCGCTGTCTTCCACAAAGAGCCTTTCTCCCGAGTTAAGAAATAAGAAATCAGGTAAAGCGGGGAAATTTGTATCACCGGAGATATTACCTCCATGGCACACTACATCTATTAAACTACCCGAGTTAACAGCAGGCCACCTTCTATCTTCATTTGCACCCGTGCTTCAGCCAAATCATACAGCTTCCTCATTTGAGGAGCTCCTTTTCACAGACACCAGCCATTAAACTCTCCACGGGGATGTTTTTAAAAAGAAAGTTATCAGGAAGTTACCAGAGCTCTTCGGCACCGGTGATCCAGGTGGAGAAATGTTTATACTGGGTGACAGGTAAAGATAGCTTCTGTTCACTCCAGAATTGAAATCAAATGGCGATTTGTAATCTCACGTCCACGCTCTGCCTCCAGGGAAGGATTCATCTCGGCTCTCGGCAGGGGCCTCCTTCGCACAGCAATCCCCACGGCAGCGCGCACAAATCCTCCGTCTCTTCACATGACGCTCGCTGTGTTTTGCTGAATTTTATGCTTCTCTTAGGCTTGACAGAGCCATCTGGCAAGTAATTTCTTCACCATGTTGTCACCGTTTGCTCTTTACACGGCACAAGGTTGAGTTCCTGTAAATTTATAACTGGGGCTGGACCTAAACAGACCGTTCCTTTAACAAACATTCACAGTACGCTGCTCATAGGCTTCCAGAAGAGTCTTTGTCCTCCGCAGAATTACATCAAGAATTTTCAATCATTTAAATAAAAAAAAAGGTCAGCTGACTGCAGCTACACCAGGATATCCTTAATCTTCTAGGACACAAAAGGATTACTAGCCATAATCTATCCTATACACCATCTGTGTAGGACTTTTTCCTCTGATTAATGGAAAAATCAGAGTGTGCAGCTCTACTGTTTCTACCAGTGTAGTAACCCCTAGCCAGAATCCAGCCTCTGCTAGCCAAATATCACACCGTAATGTTACCCCAGAATACGACAAAGCAGCACTCAGCTCTGAAGGCTACACTATAAATACTACCAATAGTTTTTTGGGGGTTTTTTCCAAAAAAGTGCTAGTGTGCATTATGATATTGACCCATGCGTCCAAACATATCGGAGTATGAGGCTTTTTTTAGGAAGAAGAAATATTAAACAGTCCTATGTCTTTGGTGCTTCAACCACAGTCCCTTGGAGCCAGGAACCAGTAACACCTGAATGTGTATTCCTGATGAAATGCATTTATGTTTTGACACACCTCTTAGGAAGAGAGATCAACTTACACAAGCCATCTGACTTCACGCTATGGGTTTAAGATTTAGCCCAACAGAGAGCCTGGGAAGCTGAAATGCTTCTTACCTAAAGGAGACACTCAGCCCAGTTCTGCAGTGCTTCAGTACATTTTTTTTTCCTTTCAAGGTCATCTTCTTTCACCAGAAAAAAAAATCAAGTTTACTAACAAGGCAGATCACCTTTACAGCTAAGTGATGATTTCCTAAACTCTACCAGCTCCACACCTTCACCTGGGTTCTTCAGCTGCTGCATCCTGCACACAAAAGAGCGCCATCAAATGGGAGTTAATCTTTTCCTTCATCATAAAAGGGAAGTTTGAAGAGAGAGCTGATGGTAATTAGTCATTAAGCCACCCCCTGCTCCAAGCCGCAGAGGTGAAGCAGCCTTGCAGCACACCCAAGTGAAGCCAGGGCACTGTGTTCCTTAGGGATACTGGAAGAAACTGTTCTGTTTCTGAAGTTTTAAATTCCCCTTTCCACTGGAGTCAGCGTGGGCACGAACAGACCTTCAGGCTAATGGAGGAGCAGCTCCTTCAGACTGCAAACCTACATTGGCTTCTGGTGCAGATTACCTGCGGGTTCATAAAAATAATGAGGGCGCAGAAACTTCAAATAGAGTTCTCCGCTATAATCCAAACCCACTCAAAGGAAGAAAATACAATGCCCTTCTGTATTTCCGACATGTAGCTGTGAAATCTGCCAGAAATATCACAAAGTTCACCTCATAAAGGTTAAAGTTTTGGTCACCCATTCTACTGGAAGCACCCAGAAACATCAGAAAACTAACACAGCTGGAGTAATATACTGCCAATGCTCTCTATCAACCAAGCACGATAATATGAATAGCTACTGATTTTGTTTTGCAGCCTTCCCTCATGTAACTCAAGAGGCATGGACTACCTTCTGTAGGCTCAGACAGTAATTGCACTAAATGGATTAGACAAGGTGACAAACTACTAGATGTAGCCTACTAGAAAAGCCGAATATTTTCTACTACCACTCTCCTGACACAGAAAAAGAGACCAAAGCTGGTGAGAGTATCATCTGATAAAGCGAGTCTCCCACTTCATACCTTCAGAGACCCTCTAGGGCTGTGAAAAGTAACAGAGCTCAATGCTGACACATTACAACAATCAGAAATATCGATTAAAGGAAAAAGAACATCTTAGGAAGATTCACTGATGACTGCTAATGATCAGGAATACCCTATCCTGGGCCACGGCGTTTTCTGGAGTCAGGATTTACATTCCAGTTATTTACAGGAAACTTCCTGCATTCAGTTTTGCACCATACCTTCTGTTCCAAGAATCTGGTATTCTTCCTATATCTTTACTGTGCAAAAGTCGGTTTCAGGTCCCTAGAGACATCTAGGCTGCCAGTCTAAGACCAAACACATTGCTTACGGGTGAAACACTGACCTGGCCTGTTATGGCCACAGACAGAAGTGTGTTTGGGCCTAACTCTCCAACATATCTTCTATGTAGGCTGAGACAGGTATGGGATAATACCTTCCTACTTGAACAAAAGTCAACTTTACAGGGAAGGTCTGCTGGAATACAAATCTAAGCCTCCATATGAAAAACACATCATAAAGAGAAGCATATATCTGCACAGTGCAGGACTGTAGCCTATCCTTCCAAAAAAAATGCTGCAGGTTGCCTATCATTCCGAAGTCATCCACTTCAGGGAAGACAAATACTTCACTGCCAGCCACAGCAGTCATTTCATCTGCTTCTTCTCCAGTTGCACCCTCCAAGTGCAATTCTTCCCTGTACTTCCTAAAGATAGTCTGAGGTAAGACAGATCCTGTTAGCTATTGCTTTGGTGAATTGAGGAGGAGAAACGAACTTCTCCCCAGGGGACCTTCAAAATTAAAGTAATGCTCCTGAGGAAGCAAAGTGAGATTGGGGTGCAGGAGGGAGAAAAAAAGATAGTAACCACAAGGAATCAAAAGCAAGGAAAGGTTTTGTTCTGCGCCCCCCCCCCCAAGCCTTTTGACGAGTTTATTCATTCCCCACAGTCTGAACGCTGCTAGATAATGGCAGGAATCAAGCTTTAAGTTTTACAAACAACCCTATCATGAGACCTTTCTAAAGCAGGGCCCTCCCATGACCAAAATAGCCCACTGAATAGCCTTTGTCTCTCCCCACCCTTCACGGTAATTCCGAGCACATACAACTGGCTCCAGATGGAACTGAAGCTGTTAAACCACTCCCCATTAGATATACCTTGCTTTTCTGCTGCAATACCAACATTTTAGAGCTGAAGCTTCAGCTCAGACTTCTATTATTTGACTGAGTTATTCTAAATGCTTGAGCATCTTTGGTCTTTGCCCTGCATATGAAGCCTACTTCTTACAGCTGTTACTTAGACTATTACTGCAGGTTATCAGCAGCAAGCCAGTACCTCAAGAGATCATGAAGCCCAAGACTGGGACTTACTTGCTCCAGAGACAGGTAGCAGTGGGCTTTTGATCACTACATGAGAGATTAAAACTGAAAATTGTGCTGCATAAGCCTCTGCTGTTCCAGAGCTAGTCCTCATTTGTCCTTAACAGGTCAGAATAACTAAGAGTTTGACACGTAGTCATCTGCACCATTTTAGAAGCTGGTGTTTGAAAGACTGGCATGAAGGTAGATTACTTCTGTTAAGGATGACTGAACCAATTACTGACAAGTTCAAATGAATGTCACAAAGTGGCTCAAAGGTTCAGCAAGCCTCAAAGCATTACCACAATTCTTACCGTTAATCATAATGTAATCCCCTCTGCTAAGGTTGGGGAGCACGTTCTTAGCTTTCCCAGGTAAGTATTTCATTAGCACAGATTGTGCCTGTCATGAATCATAAGGGAGGGAACTTTCTGCATAGCTAGAAAAGCTGTTCAAATTGAACAAACACTGTTAACCAGATCTTTGCCTGCCTAGTGTCACACACTGTGTTCTTTCTTCAGATAACCAGCTCCTACCTAGTACTATAGTTCCAACAGTAGCCTGAGGCTAACTAAGAGCAATTTAAATTAAGGCAATGGCATTTAAAGCACTTCTATCTTGTTGGTGGCTAAGCAAGGATAAGACATTGTTCTCTGCAAGGCTATCACATGCTTTTCATGCGTGTTGAGGTCCTGCAGAAAAGGAATGGTTTATTCGTATACAAAAGTGTTTTATTCCTCAGACTATCTTTAGACTTTGAAGAAACTAAGCCATATATTCAGAAGTGTTTCATTCAGAGAGTTAAATTCAAAATGCCTCCGAATTAGAAGAGAGCAGAGACTACCCTAGGACAAGATCCAAACTTTGGATCTACTTTGGATAAAGCCACTTAAGTAAGCAATCAACCAAATCCATACCTCATCATATTAGGTATCTCCTGCCACAGAGGTGCCTTCATCATCTTGGATGCCCTGTGTTTGTGTCATGTTTTAAGCACAGAAATGCCAAACTCATGTACCAGTGCACATATCCAGGGCAAGGCCTGACTTCACGACTTCAGCGCTTAGTTCAGCGAGCAGAAGACGATGGGGATGAGGCGGGGAGTTTGGGTGGGGGGGGAAAAAAACTGTCAAAAAGGAGGAGGAGCAGCTCGCTTCCACCCCCACCCCTGGCACGGCAACAAGACTCAGCCTCCTATTCCAAGGACGATGGCCGAGATGCAACTTCCTCCTCAGGTTGTAACTGGTTTGAATTTGCTTGGCTGTTTCTGTAGTCAGGTGACAGGCAAGATCAACGGGAGCCCTTCCACAAAACAGCCATCAGGGTAAAAGTTTCCGGCCACATCTTCCCCCCACACCCGTCTTTCCCAGGCAGCTGGGGTCAGGCGCCTGTCCCCACTCCAACTGAGTTTCATAATGCGTAAGTCATTTTAAGGGCTATAAAGCCACTTAAGCATCTTAAGCCAATCTAGGTTCTATAGTATCAATTTGATCTTCGAGCTCTTAACAGTTTATAGATGAGCAAAGGCTTTCGTCACCTGCTTCAACGCCTTAAAACCGGCATTGATTTAATCCAGAAGGATACCATGAAGGAATAGGACCGACACCCAGACACTAAGCTTTAATTAGCGCATTCATATTCCAGTTTATGTCACGCACTCCCCCCTCCCTTTAACAGCTGATAGCTCTCTTTCAGCCCCCACCATTTGTTCATGACACAAACGGAGCTGCGCAGCTCTAGCAGTTGTTGAATAGTAGGAGTACGGGCTTCTGCAGCCCTATTAGTAATGGTCAGCAGACTTTGGCATTTGCTGTCCTCTAGCAGAGCCCAATTCAATACCACCATATTAATCTCATTATTTCAGCCTCCTCGCATGCTTTTTCTGGACCAGCTCTCCATTACATAACAGCGTTGTCCGTATGGCTGTTTGTATAGAAGTATCTTCTCCAACATTTTCTTATGACTAAATTTTGTGTTTACTTACACCTACTAAAAAAAATCTTGTTAGAGTTTCTCAGTCTTCTCCCAGCATGTAATGCATCATCCTACAACATGAAAGCATTCAAGTGTTAAGGAATACTAGATTGCTAGTACTAGTGCTGCTCTTTTCTTACACCAGGTCTGAGGATGTAAAATTTCAGACAGCTCACACATGCCTTAGCGAAGGGAGCAGTTCTCTTCTCTCCTCCTTCCTTTCTCACAATCCAATTATAAACTCAGACAAATCTCCTCAGATCTAGATTGTGAAGGAGCAGATCCACACTCCAGCTATTTTGCTGCTAGACAAGTTGACACCACAATACTCCTAACCCAGGTATCTCAAATAGAAGTCTCTGCACTTGCGCAGGTTCTCCACTATCTTTTAAAGACAGCTCCTCTAACATTCACAAGATTTTTACCACATGGCAGGGATGCTGCCTACAGGAAGTTTTGCATCTCAGATATGAAAACAGTCACATTTGCCCATTCCAACAATAACGGGTGAAAAATCTTTCCAGCCTACAGTAACAGTCCAGGCCAAAGGAATGCAGTACCTCAGAATCAGTGATCAGGTAGTGTGTTGCATACGCTTTGGAAAAGTCAGGGCAAACTGTACGAACAGAGAAAAACATTTCTAAATAAGATTAACATACCTCCAGAGTGAAAGAGCTGGCAGGTAAGTTTTACAGGAATTTGAATTTAGTTATTTGACTTCAGCTACTTATGCCAGTTACGCTGCCATTCTCTAGAGAGATTCTGCCCCCCAATTAGGGGACTGAAGCAGTCAAAGACGCTACAGAAATAACGCTAAGCTGCAGCTAGAAAGCTGGAAAAGATTAGGAAGAGAAGACAGAATGGAATCTTTTTAAGCAAAGTTTGAGCACGTAACCTTGCAAAACTAATTAAAAGCTTTACTAGAGTGAATTTGATTGGAAAGACTCCCAAGTTCTCTCAGAAGACAGCTCTCATCTTTTGCGCTCCGAAAGCAAATCTACTTCTTTCAATGCTACATGCAAGAGACTTCATTTCTGAAAAATAACTCCAGAAGAGCCCACAATTCCAACTCCACACTATCAGATCGCACCATGAAACTGATACTGGACATTTTAAGAACAAACTAGATTTGATCACAAATTAGTTTCAGTCGTGCGCTATGCTATTTGAAAGGATAATCACCAAAGAAAAGCATTCTTTGTAGTCTTAGCAATACCTTATTAATGACACCTCAACACTGAAAGAGT